GAAATAGAGGTTTGTTACCTCAATTCAACTACCCAAAGCCTAGAAGACCTACACCAAGAGAATCTCCATCAAAAACTTCATTTTGCCCTCTTGATGAATAGTACACGAATTTGGGGAAGGAAATATCTCCTCACACAACCAATGATAGCTCAAATAAATGGGTGGGATGGACTCATTGGGTGGTTTCCCATCGATTTCAAGTAGTGGGACTTGTGATTTGGTTAACTTTTGAGTGAGAATCAAAGAAATGAAGAACCAAACCCTACCCCCCCTTTTCACCAAGTGCAGCTCGGTTTCTTTGAGGAAGAGAGGAGAGAGAGCTGATTTTGAATAGTGCTCATTTGAGTCACTTAAGCTTTTAAGCACATGTGGCCCTTTTACACGGTTGTTTTTCTATCGCGTATTTTTACTTAATTGACCCGGAACTTAACTTAAAGCTACAGATATATTTTTATTTTTCTAAAGTTATTTAAATTAATTTTTATTTCCTACGGAACAATATTCATAATTCACAGTATGGTTTTTGCACCGTTTTTAACGAAATGCACTGTGAACCACTAACTGTACTTTATTTAATTCTGAAACTTAACACTTATAAACTTATCATTTTCTTGGGCCTATATTGACTTGCTTGGCATATATTGGACTTTCTTATTTACTTCATCAATTATTTGTTTCTGGACTCTACCGGTTGCTTAAACAGCAGTACAAAATACCCGGTAGAAACACTATTCACGAGATTTCCACGGAAAGTGCCAGACTATACAATTTTTCATTCTGAACTCATTTTTGTCGTTAGAATTATCAAATTATGTCTCTAAAATTATTTTGCTCTTTTAAGCTCTACCGGTTAATTCACAAAACTGTAAATTATCCGACAGAACGCACTGTTCATAACATAGTCATGATTACAGTCAAAATACTCGGAATCACTCACTGAATCTAATTATGGCATTTAAATCCTTAAATTAAATCTCTAATTAAGATTTACCATTTAGGGTCATTATAAAATGTTTTTTAAAATGAGGGTTAACAATTACCATGTAGAAAATAGTGGAAATTTAATACAGTTATCTCCCACTAAAAGATGTTAAATTCTTTTCCCACCTATATCAACTTCAAATTTTAAATTTAAAAAAGATGTGAGATATTAATGCATATGTCTCCCACTAATTAATGCTGAACTCTTTTCTTTGGGTCTTTTAGTTTTTTGATAAATATGGAAAAAAGCATTCAATGTTTTTTAGAATGAGGGTTAACAATTCCCATGTAGAAAATAGTGAAAATTTAATACAGCTGTCTACCACTAAAAATGTTGAAGTATTTGCCCACCTATATCTTGTTTAAAATTCGAATTTTTAAAAAGTAGTGGGATATTAGTACAGTTGTCTTCCACAATACAGTTGTTAAACTCTTTTTCTACCTATATCAAGTTTAAAATTCAAAATTTCCCACCTATAGCAAGATTAAAATTCAAATTTAAAAAAAAATAGTGAGATATTAATACAAATGTCTGCCAACAATTAATGCTGAACTCACTTCCCACCTAATGAAGTTTAAATTTCAAATTGTGCAAATGAGGGTGACTGCCTGTCATTGAAAATGAGGTACTGTTATTTCATTTTCAAGTGTAATTAAATAGTTGATAGTAAAAGATGCAACTACTTGAAGTATGTGCTTATATGCATGAATGCTTTAACTAACTTGCACTCATAAGATCAATTCAATTAACATGTGCTCAAAAGATGCAATACATTGATTTTTGTATTAAACTTAAAGGCACTTTTAAAATTCCAATGTTTCTGGCATGTTCTTATAATATCTATCAAGTTTCAAATTCGAATTTGACAATTTTCCACCTATCAAGTTAAATATTTAAATTTGAAAAGTTACTAAAAGATAAAAATTTGAAAGTAATTTCAAATGTGAATATTAAAAGAGATAGCCATGTATGATCCTATTTATACACGCAATTAAAGGCTTTCTTAAAGTTTTTTTTTTAAATATAATAATACACTTTTCAATTCCAATAATACACTTTCCAATTCCAATGTAGAAAGTAATGGGATTTTAAATGATGTGTCTGCCCCCAAAAAATGTTCAACTCTTTTCCCATTCCCACTATATCAAATTTGAAATTCAAATTTTAAAAAAGTAGTGGGATATTAATATAAATGTCTGCCAACAATTAATGTTGAACTCATTTCCCACCTAATAAAGTTTAAATTTTGAATTGTACAAATTTACTAAAGCAAGAAAGATTTTAAATGGTTTATAGTGTTAACACAAACTTGAAATTGAAGGAGAGAGCGACACGTCAGCAAACTTGCCAAAGAATGACACTCCCTTTTAATATATAGATATAGATGAATTTTTCATGCTCTTATAATAATATAATCCTATTGTTATACGAAATTAATTTTAACTCGAAAAGTTTAATTTTATATTATCGGTTGATTTTTAAATATAATTATAAAACTAATAAATTAAAAATCTACTGATAAAATAAAGTAATTATTTTATGAATATGTAGATACAAATCATTTACATATAGAAAATATACCAATAAAGTATTAAAAATAAATATCGATGGTATGATTTTTTTTTCCAATCAATAGTAAAGTATTAAATCATTAATATATTTCCAAATGTACAATTAAATAATAAAGTACTGGAAAAAATGACGAAGAAAACTAAATTATTATTGTTTTATTCAATTTAAAAAAATTAAATGACGAAGAAAACTTAATATATATAAAACTGAAGGAGAGACAGAAAATGGCGAAAGATTTTCTACGCAAGGATTTGTAACACCATTGGAGGGAAATGATTCGAATAGTTTGCTTGAATAAAAAAAAATCTCAACTTGTAAGAAGTCACAAAATATGATTTCTTTTAGTTGTTCTACATAAACAAATGTCAAAAAGAAAATTTTACGAAACAACGGGAGATGCTAATCGTGGAGAAAGATTTTCTACAGAAAATTTTGCCATACCTTTTGCGAATTGGGGAGGCAGAAAATGGCGAAAGATTTTCCGCAGAAGGATTTGTAACACAATTTGAGGGAAGGGATTCAAATATTTTGCTTGAATAAAACAAAAAAAAATATCGAATTATAAAAAAAATCGTAAAGAAGAATTTGTCACATTGGAATGAAAGGATTGAAATATTCTTGTTGCATAAAAATAAAATCCTATCAAGTTATAAGAATATTCATGTACGATTTATTGTTTGTTGTAAATGAATGACTAACGAAAAAAATCTTACGTGATTACAAAGAGGCTGAATTTTGCAAGAGATCTTCTACCAAAGATTTTGTCGTACCATTTGATGAAAAAGAATCATTACAATTTTCCTTGTGCGAATTACATAGGACACCATTAAAACGATCTTGGTTTCTTCCTTGTTGGGAAGAAGTATCTGTATATGAAATAAAAAAGGGTTCGCTTTTTCTGCAGTTACTGCAGATAAGTTATCTGCAGTAAGCCCAATACGACGTCGTTTTGGGACAGAAATCATGGTGTCTTTGTAATTTTAATTTATTTCAGGGTTATAATAGTCTTTATATTTATAATTTTATAAGATTTCAATACCAAAACGACGTCGTTTTGAGAATAAATGCAGATAAATTATCTGCAGTAACTGCAGAAATATTTTTCCCAATAAAAAAATATGTTAATTTTTTTTTTTTGAAACGGGATCTGCATTTATACATGGAGAAAAATTTCTTTAACCTTCCTGAACCTTATATACGTACCATTAAATATCACCAAGTATCTGTCTGTTGAAAAAAAGAAATGAAATATGGTCTTAATATTCAAATAACAAACGTAATTAAGCTTGTTTAGAAAGGAATAATAATGTAAAAAAAGATTACATGCCAAAAGAGGAGCCAGATAATGGAGAGGACTCGTCAATATTCTCAGGGCATGAATTCAGTAAGTTCTCCTTAAAACGACCTATGTTTCTTCTCTTTCGTGAAGGAGTTTCTTTTTGTGATGTATTTTTTGTCATAATGATGCAGAAAAGCTTTAACCGTGGCATGTATTTTTCCGCCCTACAAAAGAGATACACTAATATATCAATGGAAAATAAAACAAAAAATATTAGCAGGACAAAAATCGCAGAAGCAAGAGATGAAGAAACATCAGGAGTTAGAAGAAAGGAGCGTCTGAATGGTTTGAAGGTTTTTTCAAAAAATGAGATGATGAGTTTTCCATATTAAATTTTTTAAAAACCTTTCATCTTCCAATGCGATTTTTAAAAACCTTTCATTTCCCAATACAACAATTAATGATGATGGGTCATTAATCGTCCATTTCGATTTTCGTTTTTTCATAAAATGTCATTATTACAATTTTTCTTTTATTTTTTTTAAATGTTAATACAAGTGTGAACAATGTGAACTCACAATGTTAACACACAGCTGAACATGAATCAGAGTTTGACACGTCAGCGTTTTGAAGAGTTTCAAGTGTGATTTGCTTTGGTTTAACTTTAGAATATATATAGATAGATATGCTTGCAATCTTCATCATTCAAATCTTCCCCCGCAAACTAATTTCATCCTGTATAACATCGAACTTAAATCCATGTTTTCAGCTCTAATTTAAAAGTTTTAAGACTTTATTTTAGATTCAAAATAATATGAATATAAGGTTTGTCATATGAAGTTCTCCCGGACCATAGGGATAGGGATGAATTCCTTTCAATTAAATTAGATAGCCATGCTATGTTAACCATATTCCCATCCTTCCCCTGAATCAACCAACGCAAAATGACACACTAAATACTAATTCGTATTTGCCATCGTTCTGCAATAACATGGAAATTTTACAAGCAGATATGAATCAATAACAAATGGTATTAGCAGAACAAAATTGTCATACAATTCAAGATCAATCATTTCTATAAATAGAATCACTAATGTCAATATGCATATTCAATATTCAAAAAAACATAGTGTAACGGCTGAACAAGGGGCCTACAGTGACATTAATCTATGGTCCTCCAAATCCAAGTTCAGCATCCAAATCTTTTTCTTCCAAGCCTTCTTCTGCTTCCACCAAGTCTCTTCTTGCTATTTCAATTTCTACCTCTGCAGAAGCCATCTTTGCCTTTAGCCGCTTCATTTCCATCTCTATAGCAGCCACATCCCGTTTCCTCTTTTTCACCTGCACAGCTCTCTCCATATAACTTTTCATACTTAAAGCAGATTGAACATGGGGTTCAAGCCACGTCAAATCAAATCTAAATGTCTCAAGTTCCTCCCATAAAATTTGAAGATGCTTACAAGCATTATCATCCATATCTTTCACCTTTTTAGTCTTGAGAAAATGTAGAACTCGACCCAAAACTGTGAATGCCCATTCAGTAAACATACGACTTCTCTTCTGCTGGCATTCAATAAGTGAGGGATGCTTTGAACATACTTCATCTAATAGTGGAACAAAAGCTTTTTTAATTTTCCCTAAGCCCCTAAAATCCATGAACTCACCAAATGACGCCAAAGACATGTCAGTATGCTCAATGGTTCCAACACAAACATGTGCAGAGTATTCTGAAACATCATTCTTGCTAACTGCTTGATCTACTTGTTTCTCATGTTCTGACTTGCTGACAGATAACTCAGATTCGATTATACAAGTATCATTCACAATAAACCCCTTTCTAGGATCATTAAATTGAAGTAAAGGTAAAAGGAAACCCCATCTTGTCAATTTTCCATTGAATTGGCTTTCAGTTTCTGGAAAATTGATATACCAATAATTAATAGTCATATAATTAGTAGATATGTTAACCATACCTTCATTACACTATTAGCAAAAACAAATGACTAAAAAGAAATAAAAGAGAACATAAAAATGATGAAGAGAAAAAGAGGGAAAAGAGAGAAGTATAAAAGAGACCTTTAGTTATTGTCATTGTGCCATTGAGCTGATTAATTATAGCGAATTTGAACCTTGCAAATTTGCTCCAATCAGAAAGCATTTTAGGATTACAGACAGCTTCCAAACAAATTGACAAGTAGTCTCCGGGGAACCCCTTTGGAAAAATAAGAATCCGCCTAAAAGAAAAGTAAAATAAAAATAAAAAAAATGTACAAATGAAAATCATTATGTCAAATAACACGACAAACTTATGTAGTAAACAGGAGTTCATGCAAGCACCATAATTGGCCACAGAGGAATAAATGCTCAGAGTACAGCGTCCATGAATCCGAATTAGAGAAGTTCTGAATAGTCCATGTGAACTTCTCAAACGTTTTATCCATTTCGTTTTGATTCTCCATTTCCAAAACCTGCCAGCTACCAGCACATAGCATTAAGAAGCGAAAAAAGAGAGTAAAGCTTTATTTTGTGAATGAAGGAGCAAGAATTGGCAGCAAAAGCAAAGTACCTTACGAGAAAGAGAGAATTAAAGTTTATCCTAAGTCAAGGGAGGGTTCGTTACTTATACTCATACATAAAATTCTTATAAATCTCCTAAATATATACACGGTAATCAACAAGCATGCTTAGAAGGCTGCACACACTCTCCAAGTAATGGCCTCTAATTACAATGATTCACTGTAAAAGAAATTGTGTTAATTAATGTATAATTACAGGTGATACTTTAATGGAATTGAATGTAATTAGGTAATTAAATTCAGTGTCCATATAATAACTCGCTAAAGAACGGTTAATTATGGCTCGAATTCCAGTATAAAAGCACCTATTGCTCAACACTCTGCAATATGCTTGAAAAGATTGAAAAACGTTATGCTACTTTCGATGTAGTTGAAAATATTTAATTGAGTCTTTTCAGTTTCTATATATTAAATTCCATTTGAAAACATTCAATTCAGTTATTAATTAATGAACTATAATTTATTATTTGAAAAATACAAATTCAATTATGTATTCCTAATCCACGGAGTTTATTTTTTATTTATCATTTTTTAAAAAGTGCTTAATTAGTAGAGTAACTTCCAAACAGTGTTAGGTCCAACTCATGCACAATATTTTCTTTAGGAAAGTAGCCATGCTAAGTACAAAAAAGAAATTAATAATGTATGAGCATTTAGCCATCTTCCCAAACCTTCACAATAACATAACACATTGAATACGTGCTTCGTGTGCAAAACTATTGAGCATCTCTAATCAGTGGCGGACTCAGAAATTTTTTCTGTGGGGGCTAAAAATTAAACATTTGTTTCTCTCTTCAAACATAATATATGAGAAGCCAAAATACGAAAAATTAAATATTTGTTCCTTTCTTCAACCACAATATGTGGGCGGCCGAAACACCAATCCAGAGAGCATAACTCATAAATACCCTTTGAACTTGTTATAGAGAGAAAGAAGGAGAGAGAGAGAGAGGTGTGGAAGATGTCACAGTAAAATCTACTATCAATTTCAAAAAACTACACATTTTCAACCCCTAAAGTGAACATTTTTTATGCAAAGAAAACAAAGAAAAAGATAAGAGAGCAAAGGTTTAGATTTCACAAAAAATATGTACTAATTACTATAATCTAAATAGATAATTCAAAGCAGACCCCTCTCATTTCTTAACATCTTTTTCTATTTACTCACTGTTAGCCCAACAAGAAAAAAAAAGCCATAGATAAATCAGAAGAGACAGATTGCCAAGAAGCACAATCACCAAAACCCCAAAACATTTTTGCCCCTCACTTCCCACTATGTCACTAATCATCAGAAAAGGAGAGGAATCGAAAGAATAAGGTTCATTCTTTCATAAGACTCTCGGATTTCTTATTTTTATTCATGGATAGGAAGATTTGTGCTAACATCTAAGCATAATAAAAGTTGAAACTGTAAGTTTCAAGTCGAGGTTAAACTATAATTTAAGGGAAATGTTATATTTACAAACTTTTTGTTTAGAAACTCTTACAAACTACACTGTGTCTGACCAACATACTTTAATCAAGAGAGTATGAATGGTCATACTTAATGTAATTTGTAAAAAAAATTTGTAAACAGATCTTTTCCCATAATTTAATGCTAATTCCATATGCTAATTGTTACCACCAGGTATGTGCCAACAAACAAGCTCCATGTAGCTAAAAGAATTTGAACTAAGAGAAACCATGTAGCTCTATTGGTGGTCATTGATACTCCCAACACTGTGATGTAATCTTAAATAAACTTATTTTTTGTTAAAGCAAAAAAAGACAAGAAAGCATTAAATCTTAGATTTGATAATCGTGATTTTCTTTTCTCTATCTCTTAACTCTCTAAAACCCCCAAACTAAACCCTAAGCTTACTTTTCAATTCGACAAGATCTAATCATGGTACTGCACTCTTTCTCATTCTTTTTTTGTTTTGTTCATTTTCTTGAAGAGAGAAAAAATGCAATCAGAGTTAGAGGAGTTTCAATAGATATAGGACCTGAGAATATAAAGAAGCTCTATAAACTCTTTGCGGTGGGAGAAAACTACTTCACATTAATGGAGAGAAAAAATAGAGGTTTCTTGCATTATACTTATGTTAAAAAGTTTCTTCTATGTACCAAAAAAAAAAAATCTTCAAATTATTTTTTTTTTTTTGGGGGGGGGGGGGGGAGGGGTGCGGCCGCCTACCTTAGCACCCCTCTGGGTCCACCCCTGGTCACAAAGCATTCAAGCTTGAAACACTATTATTCTTACTTGCCCTTATGACTTTTCATCTTTATCAAATGATGTACCCAAGATCTTTTGATATACTCTCGTATAAACCAATTGTATGCAAAGGTAAAATGACACAATTGGTGTAGCTTAAAGTGAGGAGAGAATCTGGATTCGATTTCCACCAAAAACATCTCCGTGGAGGAGTGAAGAGTTTTAACTGTGACTAAAACCCGACTCGGGATTAGTCCCATAGTCAAATAAAAGAATTGAAGTTTGTGGGGTCGGGAGGTTGACTCGCCTCAGAGAGGTAATTAGGATCGGTATCCCCAAAAAAGGCAAAATTAGAAATCCATGTACTATGATTAACATTAGGCCAACTATATGATCAAAGAAACATGCACATATGCAATAAATCTGTTACTAATTGTAACACTCCGTTCTAGAACTGGTTTGTTAACATCAAAATGGTATTAAGCGCATCATGTTTAATTAATCAAACGCGGAAGCTTGCTTTATAGTTCACTATTAGTCTTAACATAAGAACGTGAATAAACTTTTTCTTTCGTATATATTGCAATTAGCTAATTATTTCCTCTTCAATTGAAACTACTTGATACCCTCTTGCATCTCACATCGTTTTTAAAATAAATCTGACGGCATTCCGTTTGTCATTCGGACATCTAGGGATAATTTCCACCGTCCCAACATCACCTGATAGACAGTATATCTCATTTCTTCAATCTAGAATCCATCCATGGATTTTATATCTAAGTCTCCAAGCCAATGACTTATTAAAGAATCCTTGCCAATTCAAGGCTCAAGTATCTACTCTATACAATTAGCATATCTCTTAGGCATGCAAATACAATTCATATCTTGTATAAATCTACACATGCTTCTCTAAACATAATATACAAGTTTTATGCAACATAGGCATAAATGCCCTCTATGCTCTCCAAAAGAATAACATGACATATACATCTCAAATGATAATAAACCTCATGAATCATGCCATGTAAATATCAAAATAAAGTCTATAATATCATGTCACTTCACTTTCTGTATTGATGATCCTTGCGTGATCATTGTAGGTTGCCTCTCGCGGAATTGAACTCGAAACCGTGAGCTTGGTGGGTTGCCTTTGGTCCCAGACGAAAGGGATTTTGGTAAGTGGTCTTGAACCTATGCATGTGTAATTAATAAACTTGCATATATCTTGGTTGGTTGATATTGAAATGGAAATGGCCTATGTGTAGGCATTTCTTGTGAACCAAGCTCAGTGATACTGTGGATTGGAGCGATCAAGCGAAGGAGATTATTAAGGTAATCCCTTGATACTGGGGTTTAATCCTCGTGTGTGCTCCACCATGCCCGTTGAGGGTAGTGGTAGGAGGTGTATGTGGATAATGTAGTATAGCATGTTCATGCATTAGTGTATGCTTGTGGTACATAGGATGTACCGAGTCTCTGGCTAGTAGACAGTTTTCCTTCGGACATTATGGACTTCCACTGGATAGGTCTCCTTAAGGGAGTTTCAGTTGACTTGGGGTCGTGGTGTGTCATCCGTAGAGAAGCACACTAGGAAGTCTCGGGTGTATATGGACGGAGGGTGCCTTGGTTGATGTTATGGGAACACTCATTGATTTGAAACCCGTAGGCTATATGTCGCGGCCACTAGGCCGGATGTTGCATGATATTGGCATCGACCATTCCAGCTTCATCGTATTTTGTTCTCTATGCTTCTCTACTTCACTAAATCCCTTGCTTTATCCTGTTTTAAATGTTGTATTATATTATTGATATGCATCGAAGTGAGCCATTAGGCGGAGTATTCTCCAGAACCTCTGGGTTACTGAGATATATCCGTATATCTCACCCCGTTTTGGGAGACTTTATTTCAGGTAGTGCCAGTGGTGTTGGAGCGGCAGGCAAGATGCCCGTAGAATGATGCTCATGGGCGTATTGTGGCTTTTTGTATTTTGGGGTCACATGACCTCAGCTAGACTTAGGACATGAATATCATGTTGAGCTAGAACCATTCATATTGCCATTTTGTTCATGTCTCTTTTTGGCTAAGTTTAGTTGTTATTTATCATGTTTCATTTGAAATTTATGGCGTTGTAATTAAAGTTGTAAATTGTAATATGTCCATTGGAGATGATGTTGGATAAGTGGCTTCATTACTCAAGAGGGGGGTGAATTGAGTTTTACAAAATCTTTTCGCAAAGTACCTCCTTTGATATTTTAAAAACTATTTCTTCAATAGAGTGATTTAATAAGGAAAAATCTAAGTGTAAGGGCAAGTGTAGTGATCAACAAAGTAAGCAAGCGAATATATAAAGACAATCTAAAATGCAATTTTAATAATTAAATAAAGAGATTAAGGTTAGAGAAATTGCAAACTATATATATCCTGGTTCGGTCACCACCACCGTGACCTACGTCCAGACTGAAGCCGCTCGATCAATTCTTTTCACTAACTATCAAGCTTGAGGGTGCTTGATAAACCAGTACAAATTTTCAAGACGACGGGCTCTTGATGCCTTACAATTTTTCACTCCAAATTTTCTTAGAAATTTGGTGACCTTTCAAGTGTATTGGGTTCACTCCCCTAACTATTCAATAAATCAAAGGAATGTGTTTAATAATGGCTAAGTACTCTCAAAGTACAAATAACACAAGTTCAAGAACAATAGTTGTTGACACTCTTACT